TGTTAAATGCGTTCAATTATGCTGGTTAGAACAACATAGTGGTTACAAACTATTTCGTACCTTTTAACTTTTTGTTCAAGTCTACCAATTTTTCTGTAAATAAAAAATGTTTTCAGTGAAGAGCCAAAGAAAATGCGCCTGATTTTGTCGATGTTGTTGAACACCAGCTTACATCAAAGAAATAACAAATTTCATCACAATACTCCGTGTATTTGGCCCTAAAATTGTGACTAATATAATTTCAAAATTTTGAATATCTCGATTGGTATTGGGAGTGTCGTCTACCAGAGGGCACTTGTAATGGACAGCGAGATTTCACATGCCTTACGTGCCTCTAATGTTTAGTGCGATAGTAGGGATTGAAAACATCCGTATGTGATTTTGTTAATCTAATTCTTCACGGAATCCCTTTCTCAGGACACTAGGAAGTAAAAATATGCAGGAACAGCTACTTCTAATCTAAACTCAACTGTTGGCCGCGGACGTTTTGCATAACCATAGATGCTATATCTTCCAGCAGTTTATTCCGAGGGCCCCCAAATGTACTACTTTGTTCATTTCCATACTGTCCTTCTCACTCCCCATTTACACTCCACACCCGATGATCTCAACCGTGAATTTGTGCACTCGGGATTATGTTGACTCTTCTCATATAATGATCTTTCAATATACTAGTATACAATTTGAATTCAGCGTTAAACTGAATGCACCATATTTTGGGTTCACTTTATTTAAAAATGCTTTTCCATAGTTAGACCGACGGTTTTGGTTACAGCGGACAGCATTGTTTATGTCATGTTCAGCGAATTGCGAAGAAAACTTAAGGTTACACAATTATTCAAGGAACAAGCTGAAAATAACATACCTTCTAAATGTGGCAACTGCTGTTTCAAATACTCTGTATGGATAAAACGTTATTGATTTTACCTCAAGCAAATGTGCACTTTTAACGACAAATTGCACCAACTCAATCACACAACAGAGGCTAACTGTGGCAACTGCTGTTTCAAATACTCTGTATGGATAAAACGTTATAGATTTTACCTCAAGCAAATGTGCACTTTTAACGACAAATTGCACCAACTCAATCACACAACAGAGGCGATGCATGCTATTTTGAAATTCGGAAGTTGGCAGCATCGGTTGTTGACTATCCCACATTAATCTTGGAACACTGCTCCAATGTGTTCATTCTCCGGATGCCCGTATGGAGGGGGCATATGTAGGCTGAGGTACCGAACAAATAGGCTTGCACTGCGGCGGATGCATGCTGTTAGCTAGCCAACCTTACAAAATAAGTTATTTTATTTGGATTTCAGAGGGAAACTGTCTTCCATTACTTTCCTGTTATACGCCGGATGGCAAGAAAAGTGATGGCTGGTCAACGTCCATGGAAAAATACACCTCTGGGCATCGTAACGTGAATAAGTGTCGTAAACGCAAAAACGTTGTCACGAAACTGTTAAATAATCAGCTGAAACGGGTAACCTATGAGGTGAAATATTCCACGGCTGGTTTTAAAATGGTATACTTCAGTCCAATATTTTGGAATGAATTTTAATGTGGACTTAGGACGCAAGTTTGAAACGTGTTGCGTCCTAGCTACAGTGGCTCAAGGAAATGACGGCGAAGTAATGTAAGTATCTGGCAGAAGAACTCTCGCGCGTTGGAATAAATCAGACTAGAACTGCTTTTGCACTGATGCCTCCTTTATTACCGTTCCCCTTTTCCCCTTCATTTCCGAATTTAGGGTGTCCGTTTTCGTCTTAGTTTGCTACCCTCTGCAACACGAATGGCTTTGTTACTCTTGATCAGTGTTTCCTCTCTTTGAGATATGCCAGCTTGTGCATGGCCGTTACTGCCAAGCTAGTTGCGTGAGAACCGCCATTTGAACTGTAACGTTATAAACACGAATAACTTGTTGCCAACTCAGTACATTTGGGTTCGCCTATTAGAAAGAATACCTGGCTTATTGTATTCCTAATGTGGACTTCACAAATACCCGAGAAACGTACAAAACGCACATCTGAGCTGGATATCTGGAATCGGAGTCAACCTGATACAGTTTGAGACTCAACAACCGTTTGACATTAATTATGATAATTTTGGTTATAAAGAGCAACACCATGGTAAGTAGGACAGAAAACAACAAAATTCAAATTCATACCGTCAACTTTTTTAAGTGTGTCGAGCACAAAAACTGTTGATTGTGGGAAAATAAAATAATTACTTATAGAGCTAGCGCAGAGGCTCCTGTAAACGCTTGAGGTCAAAGAAGGGTTATTGCTCCTATTTCGGTCGACCTTTTAGTGCATCAAAACTATATCTTGTAGCCTTTCGTTTGATGTTCTTACAGAACATCTAAAATAATCGATCGACATTTACGAAGGAAACGTAGTTTGATTAAATCAAGATCAGAGCGATAAGGTTGTGCGTCACAAAGTTGCTGTGCAATTTTCTGTAAAGCACGAAAATTACACGGTATCTGGTGTACGTTTGAACACTTCTGTGCAACCTTCTTTAAAGGAAAATTTACGCATAATGTGAGCCAACCAGTTTTTAGGTAAGGTCATTTTTCGGGTGGTTTGATTGTGCTCAGTAAATTTCAGACCGGCCAACCAAATAGTCTTTTGATAACACCTTGACGGTTTTTGTCAATAAATTCCTCATAGTTACATAAATTGCTCACAGTTACATTTTAGTGACAAAATTGGTATCTGTGATTTGAGAATGAGTTCATGAAACCCCCGCTGTTTCTTTTGTGCAAAATCGAAAATTGTATCTAATATCACGCAAGTTGAAGTACTTTCATTTATCTGCACGCGCTGTAATATAGCTGAATTACGCACAACTGCGTACCTATTGTTACAGCATAGGATAATCTTACGAAGCACATGAACTTGTCACCCCAAGAAATTTAGTAAATAGCGGCAGCTGTTGTTAAGCTATTGCGTACCATTGAAAACTTAAACCGCTCTGAAAGTGAAATGATGCTTGAAATAAAGATAGATTAATGCAAATATCCAGCCTCATGATGCCCGTTTGCTATTTGTGGACACTACGGCAAATCCATAGAGCACATGTTGAAAGGAAACAAATGGCAACATCGTTCGACTAAACCTCCGACTGTCATATACATCGGCCGCAAGCTACTACAAATCTGGTTTGAACATTCATGAGTTTTAAAAAGGCTTAAAACCGCAACAAATTTTCAGGTGGGGAATATATATGTACAAATGTGGATAGAAAAAGGCAGCTCTAACAATAGATGAGGTGGTTCGTGATTTTTATTTGTTTTTGCCGAGGGAATTTGTATTAGGATTTCATTGTGATCGGGTCCGATTAATGAACTTATTAAGTTTGCAAAAGTGAATCATTATGTGATTCAACCACTGAGGAATTAACAGGGACCATACACTATTTATAGTTGTGCTCCATGTCAGAGTATTCATTTGGCGCTGCTCAGAAAGGCGGGCTTTCAACAAATTAGCTCCAACTTATTTTTATTCTGCTCATTTTTAACTAGACTGATGCGTTAGACTTTGTGATAAAATGTAGCAATGAAAAATCTAGAAACATCGGAGTACTTGTGATTTTTTACAATTTCATCGAAACATCCATCACAGAATCTAGCGGGTAACGAAATGGAATGTACCATTTTGCGCAGCTAGAACTTACGTGCCGCTACCACTTTAGCTTCAGTCTTGTTGTCTGTGGAAGTTGTTGGAGACACCATTAAAAATTAACAAACACGCGATATAGAAGACAAGAAAAATATCAAATAAATAACAGCTAGCTGTTGTATGCAGAGTACAATGTTAATCGAGAAATAACGGACCTAGGTCACGCGGATTACTGCCGGTGCACACAAATATGGGTTAATGGCGTCGAAACCATACGTGCGTACTGGTTTGCCGAAAAACGTTTTCTAAGGAACTGGATATGGTAGAAAAATATTACTATTGTGTGATTGAAAACTTAGCACAGCTCACGTAAGTTTCTTACAGGCGAGTCTCATGTATTATATGGCGGCTTGACTGACTATGTAGCTCTCTTATAATAAATCAGTTGTGGTCGGAATTCGCAAGTTATGGGGTAGTTGCTTACACTTTATCAGGCAGGCATACTTTCTATATCTAAATTGCCAGGGCTTTAACGGGGAATTCTATCTTANAATTGTCGGAGCTTTAACGGGAAATTCTATCTTACTGTTCTCGGGTAAATTTCATGCGGAAAATACAATAAAAATATTCCAAATTGAGCTTGACGGGAAACTACAATTAATTCTTGCACACGTCATCCGTGAAAATTGTTTTGCAATCGGATATGGAAAGCACTGTTACCCGTGACTGCATTTTCCTTATTAGTGCACACATTTGTCGCAGGTGTAATTAGATTAAAAACATGTGCAAAGTTGACAGTCAGGTTCATGCATCAGAAACAACAAAAAAGTCAAAATAACCATACCGTCTACTAATGATATCTGTCCGTCAATTGTAGCTGCGAGAGTACGTCAAACCAGAGCTTTTTTAATAATTTGTTTACTTTGCAGACAGGAGAAAAGTAAATTCCGTAATTCGAAATATCATAACAGAACCCACTGGTTTGTTTGCTCATGTTTACCCTATTATTCATACACCATGTGCAGACAAGAAGTTTGATAACATACAGATCCAAATTATAGTTTGTGGCTACATTCCACCTGCCTAACCGTCCACAAAATCAGGATAAAATGCTGACCGTAAGTCGTTTCAGCTTGAGATCAAGCTGGATGCTTACGTCGTTCCAAAAACGATAAATAACTAAATGTATGCTCTGCAAACAGTTCAGACAAGATAATACAAATCAATACTCACAAATAATCCCCGACAAATAGCTGGAAATTTGTTCTATATGAGGTGAAACGAGCGATGGATTGCACACAGTACAAAAAGCAGGCAAAATAATCTCGCACAGTACAGACAAAATACACGCAATTAAAGTGTATGCAACATGAGCGACCTATCAAACCAGAAGATCACGGAAAATTTCTACGCATGTAGCTAATGAAATGCTAGGTTTTTTACTGTTGTCTTCGTTGTAACATTTTTTGTCTCCTTCTGCTTACACAGTTGGATATTTGAAAGACTTTCAGCTTTGTTTTTGACATTATTGCCCACGTGATTGCACAGCCGTCACAATGTCCCCATCAACCATTTGGTTGGATCAGTGGTCTGACGCACACAGACAGACGTACCAAATTAAACTTTGGATGCCAAACCTGGCCAAGTAAAAGATTAAGCCAAGCTAAATGAGGATAACCTGTGGTTATCGATTTTCGGTGCACTTTGCTAGTGATAAGTGCAAGCCGGTTTGTCAGAAAATCAGAGCGGTGCTACATGGCGACAGAGTGTGTTCGAATCTTCCATGGAACCAGTCATTTTCTGTATAGACTGAACTATTACCTGTAGCACAGGATTGACTACGAACGTCACTCCGCGTAACGGGAACGTTGGGCGTCTAATAAATTCCATTGAATTCTATGGTTGATAGTGATCACACTCCAGC